GCACCTGCCACCACGACTGGCTAACTTTTGTGTTTTTAGTAGAGACGGGGTTTCACAATGTTGGCCAGGCTGGTCTCAAACTCCTGACCTCAGGTGATCTGATCATCTCGGCCTCCCAAAATGCTGGGATTACAGGCGTGAGCCACCACGCCCAGAAGCCTTTAAACTTCCATCACAGAAACCTGAAATGAATAGGCAGAATCTAAAGCTCCAGGTCAGAGGCTGGAAGTTCCGAGGCCTGCAGGAAGAAGTGAGAGCCCTTGGGAGCTGAAACCTGGCCCTCAAGTCCCAACTTGCCCGAAGCCATCTGTGTATCTTGGGCAATGAGGACAGTCAGTTTCTTCATCTGTAGGATGATAGGATTGGGTTAAATCCTCCCTGAGGTCCTTTTCTTTTTTTTTTTTTTTTTGAGACGGAGTCTCGCTCTGTTGCCCAGGCTGGAGTGCAGTGGCCGGATCTCAGCTCACTGCAAGCTCCGCCTCCTGGGTTTACGCCATTCTCCTGCCTCAGCCTCCCGAGTAGCTGGGACTACAGGTGCCCGCCACCTCGCCTGGCTAGTTTTTTGTATTTTTTTTAGTAGAGACGGGGTTTCACCGTGTTAGCCAGGATGGTCTCGATCTCCTGACCTCGTTATCCGCCCGTCTCGGCCTCCCAAAGTGCTGGGATTACAGGCTTGAGCCACCGCGCCCGGCCCTGAGGTCCTTTTCAACTCCAAAAAATGGGAGTCCAGTAAATAACAGAGAAGCAGGGGAAAATGTTCTGCCATGTTGATTTAGGTTTGGGCTCAATGAAAGGATCTACACTAACAAGAGAGAAAAAAAATTGTATGGGTTTGCATGCAGTATCCAGAGAAGTAAGGCAAATACAGTTTGAGGCCTGGATTTATGGATTATTTCCTTCTTTCTGACTATTCCATTTGTTAAACAGAGATAGCATCAATATCTGTTTACTCAATGAATGCCTAGCAGACAACCACACAGTAAGTGGGTTCAGTTAAAAAAATATGCTCTGACGGTAAGGGTGAAAATAGTGACAGGCAAGGCTTGGATGAAAGATCTCACTTCTGGTCAGTGACGGCATGTGTGTGGCCTGGATGAGCCATGTCACCCTCCTGGACCTCATCTCTTACACTAACACCTCACAGGGTCATCCTGAGCCTCAGATGAAAGCATCATCAAATGGAAAAAAGGAAGTTTGAAGCGAGAGATCTAAGTACAAATCCTGATTCTGCCAAGCATTAGTTACGTGGGCACAGATGAGTCATTTAGCATTCCTGAACCTTAGCTTCCTTGCCTGCAAAATGAGTCAAGTAATAATAAACCACAGCATTGCTGTGATGTCATAGGAGACGGCGTACACAAAGTACTTTATAACCTCTAGAGTGCTGAGCAAATACTGGCAATCATTATAATAAGACAAGGAAAAGCACTTTGGAAAATTTTAAAGTACTAAATGAATTAATGTGCGGAGATGATGACTGTGAGGACTGATTCGCTTAAGAAATGTGGTTCAGCATTACTATGGGCACAGCACCGTTTGATGCTAGAGCAATCAAAGTTGGGTGAGAGAGTTACCCCAGGCTGCAGAGAGAAGCCATGAAGAGGAGGAAGAGAAAGCGGAGAGGGAGGAGATGTATTTGAGAAGTACACATGTGCAGTGATTTATCTAGGGCTGTCTGAAAACTTTTAAAAAAAAATATCTTCAGTCCAACACCCCAGTAAGTCAATTCCCCAAGACAACAGATCTACGATGCAACGATGCAACGACTGCCCTTGGGTTAGCTCTGGTGACTCACTCGTAAATTGCACCCCTATCTGTTTCAATTAGTGTAAATGTTCTACAGATAGATTGGGCCACCTTACTATGTTCTATTTAAACACGGCTATGAAGGACGTTCCACTGCATCAGCAGCTGGGCTCCAGCAAGCTGCAACCTTGCTGCTTCTCAAGCCTGTGCTGCCACAAACATACATGCTCATCCTGCAGATTCTTGGAATCGCTCCTCAGGGCCCTGCAGGCGAGCTCTTCACTCTACTTCGAGTCCTATGTAGGCCCCGAGTTCTAATCATTTCCTTCCTTTTGTCCAGAATCCATTAGAAACCGCTTGCCTGTGTAACCCCCAGCACGATCCTGCTTCTATGAATCATGCCAATTTTCTGTTCTGGTCTATTTGTTAATCCATCCCCTGAAACCCCCCCAGTTCAGTCATTCCCAGCAGGCAGACAGATGGATTAGAATCCCCACCCAGTGAAGGCAGTCGCTGCTGGAGGGCGCTGTGCAACATCCAACACTCATCACAGCAAAAAGCACGTGTGTCCCTCTCAGGGCAACAGGGAAAAACCGAAGCCTGCTTTCTTTTTCAAAGGAGTTGTTTGTGTTAAAACCAGATCACTGATGTGGTCTGTCAACATCGTTCAGACCTCTCCTCAATCAGTCCTCGCTCTCCTACCAAGATACTAAATATCCTCTCTCTCTTTTCCTAATATATTTTCTTCACAGCACCCATCATCCATCTACATTGTTCATTGCTCTTTTTTTTTTTTGAGACAGAGTCTTGCTCTGTGGCCCAGGCTGGAGTGCAGTGGCATGATCTCAGCTCACTGCAACCTCCACTTCCCGGGTTCAAGCAATTCTCCTGCCTCAGCCTCCTGAGTGGCTGGGACTACAGGCACCCGCCACCACGCCCAGCTAATTTTTTGTATTTTAGTAGAGACGGGTTTTCACCGTGTTAGCCAGGATGATCTCGATCTCCTGACCTCATGATCTGCCCACCTGGGCCTACCAGAGTGCTGGGATTACAGGCGTAAGCCACTGCACCCAGCTACATTGATCTTATCTATTTATTTTATAACTACTGTTTGCACCCCTATCCCTAATTAAAGCCTTAAACTCCATGAAAGCGGGAACTTTGGCTATTGCACAGCTTGACACTAAGGCCAAGGTGCAATGATAGAAATACAAGTAAATAGGAAACAACGTGGCAAGTCCAGCTATGGAGAGATGCTCTGTTAGTCACTGAGTCCTCCACTTTCTCCGAATCAACCCTGTAAAGAACCTAAAGAACTCAGTACATTCTGAATGAATAAACAGGTGAATGGAGATGTCTTCACATACAGTAAGAGATTGAGCCTCTGTTGATCCCTTTTGTGAGATACTGAAAGGTACCTATTTGTGCTAAACAATACTAGAAATAATTCAAGTACAGCAAACATGGATTGAAAGGCAAATATATGAAAAGTGAACAAGTAAAAACCCCAGGTTCCTCTCTTCTTAGGAAGTTTACAGAAAAGAGAAGCAAAGAGTAGGAAGAGTGAGGTGGTCTGGGTCTGCCACAAATTTGTGAGCTTAGGCAGGTCAGGCAATGGTCTTAATACCTGTGTCTTCATCCATAAACAGCAGAATCCTGCCAGCTCTGAGGTGTAAAACAACGGAATGGCATAGCTGCCATTTATTGTACTAGACATGGTGAAGCCTTTACCCACATTAGCTCCTTTAATGCTCACTATATTATTTTCTCCATTTTACAGATGAGGAAACTGACACACAGAGAGGCTAGTTAACTCACACAAGGCTGCAGAACTTGTGTAAGAGGTTAGTTAACTTATGCAAGGTGGCAGAGCTGAGATTCAAGTTCAGACAATTTTGCTTTAGAACCTGAACTTTAAATTTTTTAAAATTAATTATATCATGCACACAAAAGAATACATAAAATATATCTGGATATTTTGAAGAATAAATAATAGAAAAAAAATAATGAATACTCAAGTATCCATGTCCCAAACTTAAAAATAGAACATTACCGATACCTGTGACACACCTGTGGGACCCTGATCACCTTTCTCCCCAGAAGAAGTAATCACTTACTTGAATGATGTGTTAATGATTTCCGTACTTTTTTTTTTTTTTTTTTTTTTTTTTTTTGAGATGAAGTCTTGCTCTGTCACCAGGCTGGAGTGCAGTGGCACCATCTCAGCTCACTGCAACCTCCCCCTCCCCAGTTCAAGCAATTCCTCTGCCTCAGCCTCCTGAGTAGCTGGGACTACAGGTGCGTGCCACCACGCCCAGCAAATTTTTGTATTTTTAGTAGAGACGGGGTTTTACCATGTTGGCCAGGATAGTCTCGATCTCTTGACCTAGTGATCCACCCCCCTCAGCCTCCCAAAGTGCTGGGTTTACAGGCGTGAGCCACCACACTCAGCAGAAAACAAGTTTTAACCCTAATACTATTATGTTTTGCTTGCATTTGATAATCATGCTCCATATATTATTTTAGTACTTGCTTTTTTCCTTCAGCATTGTCTATGTTCATTCATATTGATATGTATAGCTAAAATTTATTCTTTTTTTATTGCTGCATAATATTCCATGTGTGAATACACCATCTTTTAGCCATTCTCTATTGATGCCATTGAGTCATTTCTAGTTTTTGCTATTACCTACAATGCTACTAATAACATTTTCATATATGTCTCCCAGAAAATCTATGCCAACATATCCCTAGAGCATGACATTTCTGGGTTAAGAGTATAGGATATTCAACACTACTGAGTAATGCCAAAATTTTATACCAGTTTACACTCCCGCAAGCAGCATCTGAGTTCTTGTTGTTTCATTTCCTTATTAATGCTCAATAGTGTCATGCCTTCCTCCTTTTTTTTTTTTTTGAGACAGTCTTGCTCTGTTGCCCAGGATGGAGTGCAATGATGTGGTCTTAGCTCACTGCAATCTCTTCCTCCCAGGTTCAAGTGATTCTTCTGCCTCAGCCTCTGCAGTAGCTAGGGCTACAGGCACATGCCACCACACTGGCTATTTTTTTTTTTTTTTTGGAGACAGAGTCTTGCTCTGTAACCCAGGCTGGAGTGTAGTGGTGCAGTCTCAGCTCTACCTCCCAGGTTCAAGCAATTCTCCTGCCTCAGCCTCTCGAGTAGCTGGGATTATAGGCATGCATGTGCCACCATGCCAGGCTAATTTTGTATTTTTAGTAGAGATGGGGTTTCACCGTGTTGGGCAGTCTCAGCCTCCCAAAGTGCTGGGATTATAGGCATGAGCCACCATGCCCAGCCAATGTCATATTTTTAAATTCTCTTTCCAATATGGTGGTTTGAAAATGATATTTTATGGGTGGGTTTTGTTTTCATTCCCCTGAGTACATATGAAATGAAGCACCTTTTCTAGTGTTTATTGGTCATGTATATTTTTTCTTCTGGGAAGTATCTGGTTTAAAACTGGGCTGTTTTTCTTATTGATTTATGGTTATTCTTTATATATTATGGATAATAGCAGAGCTTCTTGAATATAAATATATTGTTAGAAGATCCACAATATTTGAATGCTGCTATCCCAGAACTATTCTTTTGTTCATTCAGATTAGAATTAACCAACCTCCTCCTTTTTCTTCCAAGCAAATAGATATTGAGTGGTATTTCCTAGGTTTTGAGGCTCAGGAAAACCCAACTGCCCAGACCTCCAACTCATATCTTTCAGTAGGGATTTGAGTAATCATTTAATGACAGACTATGTAGATAACTAATGAGTGCATCACTCAGAGTTCTACAGGAAATGAAATTTATTCCAGGTAGTTCGAATGAAGAGACTTGAATGAAATCACTACTTAGGTCAGGGTCAAGGGACCACATCAAGGATGCTGCTGCATCCAAAGATGAGGACCAGCAGGAAGCCATTACCCCGCATAGGGCTGAAGGCGAGGAGAGGAAGCACCACCCTAGGGCCCAGTGGAAGCTGGAATCATGGAAGAGAAGCTTCCCAGTAGAAGCTGGAGCCACGGAGGGACTCATGACTGTTGCCAAATAAGTAGCGCCAAAGCCGGAAATGTATAGGGATAAAACACCCAGCTGTTCTCCCCTCCTACCCTCTGATTTCCTGCCAGAGTGTCCTACTGGTTGAACTCAAGTGGAAGACAGGCAGGAAGAGATCCAGGTGATTCAGTCCACAGGCTTAACCTCCCAGGCCCAGAGGAGGGCAGGGAAAGGTGGAAGATGGAAATGAGGACATGGGGGCAGCAAGCAGAGAGCAGCCAGGACAGTGGGATGTGAATTACCTGAGACTTTATTATCGGAAGAATGACAGAAGGAAGCTCCTGTAGGAAGACTGCCAAGCTCTCATCATCACCATTTCCCTGCAGTATGTAACAAGGATCGTTGTCACCATCTTAAATTAGCAAGTGTAATGAACACTTAATATAATTATACATATAATTTTTAGCTGGTCAAGTTTAGTTATGCCAAAATTACGTGGTAAAACTGGGACATTTTGTGTTTTTTTGTTTTGTTTTGTTTTGTGTTTTGTGTTTTGTTTTTTGTTTTCGAGACATAGTCTTGCTCTATCCCCCAGGCTGGAGTGCAGTGTGCAATCTCGGCTCACTGCAATCTCTGCCTCCCGGGTTTCAGTGATTCTCCTGCCTTGGCCTCCAGAGTAGCTGGGTTTACAGGCATCTGAAACCACACCTGGCTAACTTTTGTATTTTTAGTAGAGACAGGATTTTGCCATGTTGGTCAAGCTTGTCTCAAACTCCTGGCCAAAACTGGGACATTTTGAAAAGTAACTGTAAAGGGGAAGTATCTCTGTATATCTGTCTCTCTCTCTCTCTCTCTTTTTTTTTTTTTTTTCTTTTGAGACAGTTTTGCTCTTGTCGCCCAGGCTGGAGTGCAATGGCACGATCTCAGCTCACTGCAACCTCTGCCTCCCAGGTTCAAGTGATTCTCCTGCCTCAGCCTCCTGAGTAGTTGGGATAACAGGTGCCCACCACTATGGCTGGCTAATTTTTTTTTTTTTAATTTTTTTTTTGAGACGGAGTCTAGCTGTGTCACCAGGTTGGAGTGCAGTGGCGCAATCTTGGCTCACTGCAACCTCCACCTCCTCAGTTCAAGTGATTCTCCTGCCTCAGCCTCCCAAGTAGCCAGGACTACAGGCGCCCGCCACCATGCCTGGCTAATTTTTGTATTTTTATAGAGATGGAGTTTCACCATGTTGGCCAGGATGATCTCTATCTCTTGACCTCGTGATCCACCCGCCTCAGCCTCCCAAAATGCCAGGATTACAGGTGTGAGCCACTGCACCCAGCCCAATTTTTGTATTTTTAATAGAAATGGGGTTTCACCATGTTATCCAGGCTGGTCCTGAACTCCTGGCCTCAGGTGATCCACCTGCCTCGGCCTCCCAAAGTGCTGGGATTACAGGTGTGAGCCACCGAGCCTGGTCCACAATCATTATTGTACCAATATTTATAGAGTATCCTAGGAATTCGTATCTCTGCTTTAAGAGAGGGGCACTAAGGCTGAAAGACACACAACCCAGATTTTCTGACCCCAAAATACATCACAATTGTATGGTCTCTCCACTCCCTCATCATGGCTTTCTATCTACTATTAATATTAAGTTCCAGGTCAGGATGCATTTTAGAATCTATCAAAAAGTTAATGTAGACTTTAGGTTTAATCAATAACTTTTTATGAACTTATAGCACAAATAAGTTTTGAGCTTATCATTTCCTGTGAAAACCTGCTTGACATCTTAGCCATTGATTATGTTTCTTTGCTTTATCCGGACAGATACAGTCTCAGGAAAAGTAGGTTCCTACTATTGAGTTGTACTGATCCCACTCACCTTGTAAGCATTGCTTTCTCGCACTGGGGCCGAGCACTCACAGAGCCCCGTCCCCTCTGTCATGTCACTCTACAGATGCGCCAAAGTGAGTCCTTCCATCACATCTCATTCTGCTTAAAGGACCCCTCCTAAGTACCAAATCCTTGAAAGAAAAGAGGCGGACTCTCCTCTTCCCTGTCACTCCCTTATTCAAAGGAAATACCTGAAACCTGAGGGGTGGAAAAGTGAGATAAGAAAAAGAGAATATTGGCCAGGCACGGTGGCTCATGCCTGTAATCTCAACATTTTGGGAGGCCGAGGTGGGTGGATCACCTGAGGTCAGGAGTTCAAGACCAGCCTGACCAACATGGTGAAACTCTGTTTCTACTAAAAATACAAAATTAGCCAGGCATGATGGAACATGCCTGTAATCTCAGCTACTTGGAAAGCTGAGGCAGGAGAATCACTTGAACCCAGGAGGCAGAGGTTGCAGTGAGTCGAGATTGCACCATTGCACTCCAGCCTGGGCAACAAGAGCAAAACTCCATCCCAAAAAAACAAAAACACCAACCAACCAACCAATCAACCAACAAAAAAAAGAAGAGAAAGAGAATACTGGATGGGCACAGTGGCTCACACCTGTAATCTTAGCACTCTGGGAGGCCAAGGTGAGAAGATCGCTTGAGCCCAGGAGTTCAAGACCAGTCTGGGCAACATAGCAAGACCCTGTCTCTACAATAAATTTTAAAATTAGCCAAGTGTGGTGGCATGCACCCGTGGTCCCAGTTACTTGGGAGGCTGAGGTGGGAGGATCGCTTGAGCTCTAGAAGTTGAGGCTGCAGTGAGCCATGATCACACCACTACACTCCATTGTGGGTGTCAGAGCAAAACCCTATCTCAAAAAAAGTTTTTTAATAAAAAAAGAAAAAGACAATATTTCCCAAGCTTTTTATAACATTAAATCATGGCGTATCTCATCTCTGCCAATTTACATGCAATCAGCCTTTGGAATCATGCTTTAAATACCAAGGGTTGGAATGGAGACCTTTGCAAATGATGGTATTGTGTGATATAGGTGGGTCCCATTCTCATTGCCAGAAAGAAAAGGGGAGGACAAAGGTCAGACTTGGAATATTTTATTTAAAAATATATTTTTTAAAACACAGGCTACTTGACTGACGGGGGCGGGGCTGCAGGCTACATGAGGTCGGATGTGGCGAAGCCATTCAGTCAAGCTGCTCTGGGAGGAAGTGGGGCAGGGTGGTTTTGAGCAGAGCTTTGGAGTCACACAGACCTACTTGAGACTCCTGGGGCAGCCACTCACCTGCTGCACAGGCTTGGCCTTATCACATCAACATGCTGAGCCTCAGTTTCCTCATGTAAGATGGGACTCAGTATAATGTGGGCCTACACACATGTGGCAAAAGAGTGCTTCACACGGTGACTGGCACAGCACATCTGAAGCACTAAACAAACTTAATCAGGATGCTTCTAGATTTCTTGTTACCACACTGGATTCTGCTGCCCAGTTAACTAGTCAGTGTAAAGTAGGACAGAATAGAATTGCTATGGATGGAAAGTTTGTGTCCCCACAATCTCGAAATATTGAGGCCTAATCCCCAATGTGATGGCATTTGAAGGTGAGGACTTTGGGAAGTATTAGATCATGAGGGTTGAGCCCTCATGAATGGGATTAGTGTCCTTAGAAGATGAAACACCAGAAAGATGATCTCGTGCTCTACCATGTGAGAACACAGCAAGAAGACAGCCATTGCAAACCAGGCAGAGGGGTCTCACCAGAACCCAACCATGCTGTCCCTGGCCTTGGACTCCCCAGCCTCCAGAACTGTGAGAGATAAATTTCTGTTGTTGAGTCTCCCTAGTCTATGGTTTTCCACTATAGCAGCCCAGACTGACAGAGGCAAGAATGAATTACCCAACCATGAATTAACTCTTTAATGTCATCAAGAACATATTTAATGTTGCTACTTGGAATAGTTAAGAATCGATATGCAATAGTTTACAAAAAGGTACCACAAATTTTGAAGTATAAGAAACCTGTGTCTGCATCTAGGTAGGCAAAAGTAAGTATGTGCTCACGTACAACACACAACACATGGATTATACCCAGATGACCTGTTTTTCTTCTTACCCCTGCAAGGCTAGTGAGGGTCTGCTTCCTTTCTGTAACCACTGTGCGGCACAGAAGCCCAATTACTGTCTTTCTTTCCAATTTAGTTCAACACAACTTTAGCTCCATTGCCTTCCCTGTGCTGAGCCCTGGGGACACTGAGGAGACCAGGAGGCAGTGCTGCCTTCAAGAACAGCAGTCTAGCAGGAAGAAAGACACTTATTGGCTCCATTTCTGCCAGCTTCCACCACCGGAAAGGGTTTACACATAGATTCCTGGCCTCAGGTGTGAGGTTTCCCAGAGGGAGCTGTGAAGTTTGGCTCCTGCCAACAGGTGGAGGTCTCACCTGTGTGTCCTTGGCCACGTGACAGCAAAGCCATTTGACTGTGCCATCTCTGGCCTTCCCTTCCTGCTCTGCTGCCAACATGGAACCACCTCCTCTTTCCTTACTTAGGATCATGTATGGTGGCCCTTCCCACTTTCAGATACCCACCCCTGTCTCTCTTCAACAAGAGAAAAAGAAAAGCCTTGGGGACAGCCCACTGCAGTGAATAGAAATTCCTTCCCACTGACATGTTAAATACCTCTCACCACAAAGGCTGGCCCTGAACACCTGCATTTCATGATTTAAGACTGTGTGTTGAGAGAGAAGAGAATCCCAGGGATATCAGAGGATATGAGATCCCTTCCCATCCCCTGCTCGGTCATCTTTCAAGCCCCCTGCCCTGTCATCTTTCAAGCCCCCACTCCCCGCCCTGAGCTGAGAACTAGAGACAGGGCTCTCGAATCAAAGGAGGCGGGTGACTCAGAGGTGAGTACAAGCCATGGCCTGGAGTGCTGAGAAGTCTGGGTGAAGGCAACTGTGTCAGCCCCAGGGAACCGAGGCAATCCTCCCACTGGAGATTAAGACCCCAGTCTCAGGCCTTTTACTGGCTGTGGATAGGAGGAGAGAGAGAAGGAGAAAGCAATGTGTGAATGAGCACACATTTGGTTTTTGATACTGATTATAGTTGTAAGGAATTGACCACACAAGGGAACAGAGAAACTGGTTTGGCTATGTCAACATAACTCTAATCAAAGTCATTTATGCCAGCCACCCTTTTGCGTGTAATAGTCACATTACCCCATAACAATGATGTACCTTCATAAAGGTGGTTCAGAGTGTTTCTAAGTTTTGATTAGAGCAGTAATTGATTGATCTATCTAGGCGCCAGCCTTAGCAATTTCTTTCTTTCTTTTTTTCTTTTCTTTGAGATGGAGTCTCCCTCTGTTGCCCAGGCTGGAGTGTAGTGGCACAATCTTGGCTCACTGCAACCTCCTCCTCCCGGGTTCAGGCAATTCTTCTGCCTCAGTCTCCCAGGTAGCTAGAACTACAGGCATCTGCCACCACACCCAGCTAATTTTTGTATATTTAGTAGAGACGGGGTTTCACCATGTTGCCCAGGATGGTCTCGAACTCCTGACCTCATGATCCACCTGCCTCAGCCTCCCAAAGTGCTGGGATTATAGGCATGAGCCACCGCACCCAGCCCAGCCTTTGCAATTTCTACCTTAAGTTATATAGTCCTCTATTCTCAACTTTAACAGATGAGCAACACCATTGCTTTTAAACTATTCGATAGAATGGGGTTTGAGGTGTGTGTGAGAGCAGGTTGCGTGCGAGTATATGTGTATCTATTTACTCAGTATTTCCCCTGATAACTTTCTGTTATCTGAGCAGTTGCTATAGAGCTTTCTTTTTCCTGGGTTTGGAATTTGATTTTTCTTTTTTGAAGGCTGTAAATTCTACCTTTTCCCTTACATACACATATATATGTAGATACCCTCCCAATAATCCTAATTAGATCCTACAATTCATAAATTATGTTGCCACAACAGCTCAGTTTAGACAAATGTATAAGAAATTTGTCAAGTTAACAGAACTTTGAGCCCACTGTCTTTCACAGGACGTGCAATCACCTGGGAACCACCCTACCAGAAGTGTAAGTGACACTCTCTCGCTTCTGTTTCAAGTTCTGTTGCTATTGCTTGGAGCAGTCTGATTCTCTACCTGAAAGATGGTGTTTCAATCAGTCATGGTGAATGAGAGGAGAATATTTAGTGCATAACTGGAGTTGAGTGAAAGACAATATTGTAAATAAATGAATGATGTTTTATCATTTCAGAAAAATACAGTGATAACTTTAAAATCATTAGGCAGTATTAGGATATCCTATGGAACTGTATTTTATATCCAATTCTGAATAACAGGTAGGTAGAAAATAAATTGCAAAGATTCATTTATGGTCATTTTAAAATTTGATTACCCATTTAAATCCAGCAGCCAAGTGGTTTCAACAGACTTTCTACTTGAGGTGAAAATAGTAACACTACAAACATATGGCAGAGCTCCGTACAGGTATTTCACTCACACAGGAGTTTATGTTTTCGAGGATGTAGGAAAAGATTTTCCAAGTGTGAAAACTAAATATATACAAAAGCAATCCATTTTGTTATTAGTTAAATAAAATGTGTCTTTAAATACGGAATTCTTTGAAAAACTCACTTCATCGTCCAAAATTGTGGAGACTATTTCACTATTTTAATCAAAAATGGAATAGTCATTACAGTTCCCCAAGGGATTTTCTGACCGGCCCGGGCAAGGAGTTCACTTGTAGAGTGTAGTTAGTGAAAACATCCAGTGGCCAAGCCTCATCAATAACTGTATCCGAAAGGAGACACTGCTTGGGGAGTACCCAGAGAAAACACCAAGCTTTCCTGGCTTCCCGGCCCTCCCTCTCCCCATTAGTCTTTGGGGCACATACATAAGTGTTGTGTGAAGCCTCTTGGGGTTTAGAAGATCTTGCACTCATTGATGGAGAAGAGTCTCCTTCTGTTTCGTCTCCTGGCCTGGTTGACGGCAGTTCGGACCGCGCACTCAAACACCTGCTGTACCCCCCGGTTGCTAAGGGCTGAGCACTCCAGGTAACCCTTGGCTCTGACATCCTGGGCCAGTTTCTTCCCTTCCATGGCATTGATGCAGGAGGCCCTGTGGGGCCCCATCTCCCGCTGGTCAGTCTGGGTGGCCACCACCAGCACAGGGGTACAGGGCAAGTTGCTCCTGATTTCACCAATCCACTTGTTCTTCAAGTTCAGGAATGAGTTATGGTTGGCCACAGAGTAGCACATCAGCACCACGTCTGCCTGCTGGTAGGACAGGGGCCGGATGCTTCTGAAGGCGTCATTGCCGGCTGTGTCCCAGAGGCCCAGGCTGATCTGGATGCCATCCATGAAGACGTCCACCCCCGTGTTCTCGTACACTGTGGGCTTGTAGGCCTCCGGGAAGGTCTCAGAGGTGAAGCGCACCAACAGAGAGGTCTTCCCCACAGCAGAGTCGCCCACCAACACGCACTTGATGGAACTCAGCATCTTCCCAGCCTGCTGTCCTACTCGCAAGTCCAGAATCCCAGGGAAAAGAGCCCTCAGTGGGCGGCTGCAGCACACGCCATTCAGCGAGGGGAAGGCAAGCCAGGTAGGTCTGTGTCCTCAGGACCTCTGACGGTGATTTGCAGAATGTTACTTCTCGCCGCCCATCCAAGCACCGTCTACTTTGAAAACCTCCAAAGCCTAGTCTTCAACTGGAACAGAAAGAGAAGGGGGAAAATGAAGTCTTTCTTTCTTGCCTTTTTTGAAGATAAGGGGCTTCCTCATTGGCAAACAGATTAAATGTGGGGCAATTTCTGTATAGCCAACCAACCCCACTTGTGCAATCTACTCTTCCCCTCTCAGGGAGAGCTTAGATCTGTCTTCGCCCAACACACGCGCGCGCACACACACACACACACACACACACACACACAACGCCTCCCGGTCAAGAAGCAGAAACTGACTTTATCTCTAAAATCATTCAAGCGCTAAAAAACACAAGCAACTGCTCTGATTGCAACATGAAAAAGACCTCGGTAGCAACCTGGTGTGTGAAGGAGACGTTTCCAAACAGGTCTCTGTCGGCTTCTACTCCAAGAAGTGGCAAAGGCCCCTGAGAGCGTTCTCCACAGCTTCAGCTTCTGATGGATCTAGCCACCTTGGAAACTGCAAGAAACAAGAATGTTATGTGTGACAGATACTTTATACATTTCTTTTTGTTTATTGACTAATCACACAGTCCTTGGTTTATGGGAATACGTGTTGTAATAGGGGAAAAGAAATTACTAGAACTCTAAAAATTTGCTGTGGTTTTTCCCTTGAGGTTTTTCCAAAAACTGGTAAGAGATGCAGCAGACTGGCCTTAGAGTTATCTGCATCCGAAATCAGGCACTGTCACCTACACGTGGCTTTGAGCACACTGCTTGAACTCCACGCCTCAGCCTACACACCTGCAAGATTGTGATAAATTTAGGAACCACTTCTCAGAGACGCTGTGAGGATCAAGTTCTTTCTTTCTTTTAACATTTTTGGATGGCCATCTGTGTATCCCGAACTCCACTAGGCCCCTAGTCAAACAAAATAACTTGCCTGAAAGCAACCATATTCGGTGCCTGTCACTTAAACAGGACCGCATAAATGGAACAATCTGAATTTCATGAAAGGCCAAATAAATTCTCGTTCAGTGCAGTGGGAAAACTCCAGGCAATGAGCTCTGCCTTGGAGACACTGTCGGGTCTGCTGCGGCACGATATCACAAAGCCAGCCCAGCTCCAGACAAAGGAAAAGTCTTTCAGACCAAAATTCAGAGTAAAGGTTATTACTGCGATCTGGGCCTATAAACTCCCCTCCTTGGTGAGCTTCCTGACATGTGTCATGCAAGGCAATACAAAGCAAACTACAAGTCTGATTTAAGACATAATTTTTAAGTAACTTCTCTAAATCCTGGCATTCCTTTCCAAAACATTTTTTTTTTTCTTTTTCTTTTTCTTTTTCTTTTTTCGGAGACAAGATCTCACTCTGTCGCCCAGGCTGGAGTGCAGTGGTGTCATCACGGCTCACTGCAGCCTGGACCTCCTGGGCTCAGGTGATCCTCCCACCTCAGCCTCCCGAGTAGCTGGGACTACATGTGTGTGCCACCACACCTGGCTAATTTCTTGCTTTCTTTGTAGAGATACAGTCTCACTATGTTGCCCAGGCTGGTCATGAACTCCTGGCCTCAAAGATCTTCCTGTCTCAGCCTCCCAAAGTGTAGGGATTACAGGCGTGAGCCACCACGCCCAGCAGCCAAGACATTTTTATCCTTGTCAACCCACGGTCTCTGTTGTTTAATTATCCCTAACAGCCTTTGCAAATGAGTTAGCCAAATAAATAATTCACATGATATTCACATATTCATGTTTTTAATGAGTATGTGAATATATTCATTAAAATATATTTTAAATATTTTTTACTTAAAAATTCACATGTAAGCCAGGTGACCTTGGCCAAATTACTTAACCTCTCTGAACCTTGATTTTCTCATAGAAATGAAAATAAGAAAAGGACTTTCTTCATGTGATCATTGTAAGGATTCAGAATGTGAGGAGTCTGATTTAGCACAAAGCCTGGCATCTGGGAATTACAGGAAGCCATCAAGTTATCCATTTCACTACTATCTGAAACACCAAATACTGAATGTCCATAGTGGAGGGACCACTTTGCCAAATGTTTACCTGGACTCTTTCTCCAGACTGACACCAGGTTACTGTCACACACCATGGTCATGGACCCCATTTGAGACTAGACCTTTGAGGAAGGACTCCTTGAGGGCTCCATAGGCTTTAGTTAGACATTAGATCCTTAGACCAAGTGGCAACTTAAATATATGCATTTGTGACTTAGTCCAGAGCCAAGAACTCTTAAGATATTTTTACATTTTTAAAATTTAATTTAATTATCTTATTTTTTATAAATGCAGTTGGGGGTCTCATTATATTGCTCAGGCTGGTCTCAAACTCCGGAGTTAAGTGATCCTCCCACCTCAGCCTCCCAAAGTGCTGGGATTACAGGCATGAGCCACCACGCCTGGCCTTAAGTTTTTTGGGGTTTTTTTGGAGCGCAATTATTGCATTGTGTGTTTTAATATTTCATTTTTGAGAATTTAAACGAGCATTTAAATATCAAATATTGTGCTATTATTTATTATTATTATTATTATTATTATTTTGCCTATTTCCTCCATATTTTATTTATTTATTTATTTATTTTTTGGCCTTAAGTTTTATTTGACCCCAGTGTAGCAGGGCCAGAATTAAGAAAAATGTACACGCTTCGGGCATTTATTTATTTATTTATTTATCTTAATTTTATTTTTTTGAAATGGAGTTTTGCTCTGTTGCCCAGGCTAGAGTGCAGTGGCTCGATCTCAGTTCACTGCAACCTCCGCCTCTCAGGTTCAAGCAATTCTTATGCCTCAGTCTCCTGAGTAGCTGGGACTACAGGCATGCACCATCACACCCAGCTAATTTTTGTATTTTTAGTACAGACAGGGTTTTACCATGTTGCCAAGGTTGGTCTTGAACTCCTGACCTCAAATGATCCACCCGCCTAGGCCTCCCAAAGTGCTGGGATTACAGGCATGAGTCACCACACCCAACCACTGGCCACCTTTATTTATTTTTTGAGACAGTCTTGCTCTATCTCCCATGCTGGAGACAGAGTACGATGGTGGCTCACTGCAGCCTCCACCTCCCAGGCTCAAGTGATCTTCCCAGCTCAGCCTCCCAAGTAGCTAGGACTACGAGCACTCACCACTGTGATCGGCTACATTTGTTTAGTTTGTATAGAGACAAGGTCTCACTATGTTGCTGAGGCTGGTCCTGAACTCCTGGGCGCAAGTGATACTCTTGCCTCAGCCTCCCAAAGTGTTGGAATTATAGGCATGAGTCACCACACCCAGTCCTTTCGGTTATTTAAATAAACTCTCCAATAAACTGACTGAGCTAAAGCCAAATTTCCTGAGTGAATATCTGCACAAGGAAATTAATAAGGCATAATTGTTAAGGTCATGGGCTTTAAAGTCAGGTAAACCTGGCATTGAATCCGAGCTGCCCAACCGACTACCTATGTGACGAACTTGGAAGATTTTCTAACCTCCTTAAGCCTCAGTTTCCTCCTCTGTAAAATCAGTGTAACAATATTATATCTGCACCACAGGTTGTGGAGAGTATTTAAGTGTGCTTAAAGCTTAGAGTGCAAAATTCTTTTTTTTTTTTTTTTTGGAGACCTGAGTCTCGCTCTGTCGCTCAGGCTGGCGTGCAGTGGTGTGATCTCGGCTCACTGCAACCTCCGCCTCCCGGGTTCAAGTGATTCTGCTGCCTCAACCTCCTGAGTAGCTGTGATTACAGGCGCCCACTACCGTGCCTGGCTAATTTTTGTATTTTTAGTGGAGATGGGGTTTCACCATGCTGGCCAGGCTGCTCTCAAACTCCTGGGCTCAAGTGATCTGCCTGTCTCAGCCTCCCAAAGTGCTGGGATTACAGGCATGAGCCACTGTGCCTGGCCTAGAGTGCAAAATTCTTAGCAGGTGCATAATATAAACATACTGTATGTACATAGTAAACACTCAGTAAGTAGTCCCTATTAATAATATTCTGAAATAACAATTACTAAATATAATGATAAACAGTTATTAACGCTAAGTAGGGAATTTAAAGTAGCACAAAAGAGGTTTCTCCAACAAAGGGTGAAACACACCCAGACATAGCTACAAAAAGAGAGAGAGAGACTCCTGTCTAAGCTTTGCCACCCAGCGAGTCAGAAAGGTGAAAACATTTCTGTTCAATCAAGTGACCCTCAGTGCCAGCCAGTTCTGACCCCAAGTGGCTCATCAAGTCAGCTTTCAGGGCCTCAGTTTCATAAACTGTAAAGTAGTTCTTGATAGTTTTATTAAAACTGAAGCCAAAGTACCTGCTGCAGTGAATACAAAACATAAACCATTGCATTACTGTGCGGCAGTAAAGATGGATGATAAGCCTTGAGGACAGGAGGAGCCTTGGAAGATGCCTAAATATGGAGCTGGGGGAGAAGGGGAAGTAGGAGAGGAGCTGCGGTCTGAGGCAGAGCCATACCCTATATGGACATGACAGATAATCTTCAGAATGGGTCACGTGTGTCCAGGAGTGAGCCGCCTCGAGTTACATCATCAGCATGTGAGTCTGACGGGCTTGATTTCAGCGAATTTCTCCAAAAGAAATTCTCCCTAGAAGGGCTTCTGGGTGAAAAAAGTGAGTCTTCCATGGTATTTCCCAAGTGGCTAACTGGCAAGAGTGGCCCAAGTATGTCTCTTCGTACGGAAGAGTTAGGAGAGCGTCACGGGTGGCGACACTGAGTGGCCCTCCAGGCCGTTCTTCTCAGGCCTTGAATCAGACAGAATCAATGAGCCTTCACCTCCAGAGCCTGCGGGGTCTCCATAATGTGATGCTCTTGCCCTTTTTCTCTTTCTACCATTTTCACAGAAAAGGGTCCCTCAGCAGGCCGCCAGGGTTCACACGCACAGACACAGGGAGGGAAGGGAGGCTTCCTGCTGCAAAAGCAACAGGGTTGGGCCTTTCTGCCCGCTCTGGCAAAGAGACCAAGATACACACAAGTGAGGGATTAGGGGAAGAGACATCCTAACGCATTTCCTCCTCCGGAGAACTGAGGGCTGTCCAGTAGGAAATCCTGGTTTCCTTTTGGACTCAATTCTAACGGCCGTGCTAACAGACACCCATTCTCCACCTGACACCCTCCGCAGGCTCGCTCTGTGCCATCCTACTGGCTGGAAAGACCAGGTCTTCACTCAGCCCCCAACTCACACGCCTTCCGGAAAGCCTTCCTTGAGCACCAGCGCTCCCCAGCCCCTGACAGATCAGATGCCCCCTGCTGTGTTCCCACAATACCTCTGTGCACATTTGACACAGAAACTACCACTCCGCCGAAATGGCTCGTCTTCTCAGTCGTAAAATGGAATGAGATCTGCCCTGCCTTCTTCACTGGGAGCTCATAAGGATCAGGTGGAAATGGTAACAATACAGAAATCATTTCGGTTTTTACTTTTACAATACTTTGTATGTTTGGAAATGCTCTCTTGTTGGTTTTGTGAGAAAGTCTTTTTATAACAATACAGCATAATATAGAGCTAAAGT